TTCAGAAATAAAATAGATTTTCAGACTCGTATATAAAACAAAATATAATTACATGCCCCCTAATTACATGTACCATACTCTGCAAACAACGCCGGAATAATTCCTTTACTGATATCGATAGATGCACTGGTTTAATCCTTTTAACCTACAATGGTGAGTAATATAGTGAGCTTCAGAAAGCTCAGTAATATAGAACTACCAAATGATGCTGAAGAACATGCAGATACAAATAAACATATATTTCCTTGTCGGTTCAGACATCTACAGATCTTTATGTTGAGCGAAGATCCTACAGATATTTCAGGGTAACGGACAATGAGCTTTCATTTCAGAGAAATATTTCGGATGACTGAGTTCAGGAGATCAGAATAATATCAGAATAGGTTATCTAATGTGTTCCCTCAAAACCAGTGAAAAGATATCGACTTTTAAAACATATTTTTTTATTAAAAAACCATAGTAATTTCCCCATCCGTCATGAACAAAATGTGTAGGTTCTCCATAACCATACAACCTCGTCACGAACAGTAAGGCCCTGAGCACAAAGCCAAGGAACCTGCAAGTAATCAAACCCGTCACGAACAGTAAGGCTCTCAGCACAAAGCTGAGGAACCTACAAGTATTCAACCCCGTCACGAACAGTAAGGCTCTCAGCACAAAGCCGAGAAACCTGCAAGTATTCAACACCGTCACGAACAGTAAGGCTCTCAGCACAAAGCCGAGGAACCTGTAAGTATTCTTCCTCCAACTATACCCCCAATAAAACATGTTCCGTCCGTAAACGGATATATCAAAAATCAAATCATAGTTCAGGTCAAGTATCATATCAGAATCCATGTCAGGTATCATAACAGAATTCAAATCATAAATCATATAAAATATTCATGTGATTAGGGAACACACCAGAGTTTACAGATATTATTCAGAAGTACTGGATAATCTTAGTAGGCAGAGAAATACGGATCTTCAGTATACCGATATAATATAAGAATTTAGAATCATTATTGGAAGAGTTCAATAACTGACAGAATTATCAATTATTCAGAATGAGACTTGAGTTGATAAGAAAGAAATGAAGATTCAGGACATTTACAGTCTATGTCGATTGATTTCATTATCAAACAACTTCAAATGAATATCTCCCAGAATTAAAGCTTGTCGACTGATCAATTCATTGTCCTTACAGGGTATTTACACGTTAATACCACAAATTCTAGTCCATATATAATCTTCGGAATCATCGCTGAATAAATCTTCCGATGTCTTTATTTCATGTTCACACTTCCACTATATCATGAAATGCTGACGTGCTTGATTTGTAGTTCAAGATCTATAAGAACATTACATCATGTATGTTCACTTACGTTTCCAGACTCATCCAAATCACTTACTTAATCCTTAGTCATAGAGGTTACTTAGTTCATTTAGCATTCAAGTTCATTCCAGTTACTTCGGGATTTTCAGAGTAATTCAAACGTTCCTGAATTTTATATACATGTTGTACTTCCGTTCCATTCAATTTGGTCTTCGTGGTTGATTTGTCGAACAAACTCCAATTCTTAGTATTGAATGCGATCTAGAGTTGAGTTGAGTTGAGTTGAGTACTTTTAAAATTATCATCGAACCACACTTGAGAAGACGAACACACATTCAACTGATACCTATGTCGTTCAGGTACTGACATATCATTACGGTTGATCGGCTCACTTAAGTTATTCCATAACTTCTAAAGGTAGTCCAACACCTGTGCTTATTTGAATTCCTTAATTAATCCAAGACATTTACTTAGTATAGACCATAAGGGTATTTTGGTCATTTTAGTGTTCAGTTTTATTTCATTCATTACAGAGCTCGAGGATATCCAATCATTCTTGAGCTTGGTGATAGTCTTGGGTTATTTCTATTACAGGGGTATTCTGGTCATTCTACAGATCCGATGTGTTTCAATCATTTCCTTCCATCCTGTCTTATTATTTAATTCAAATTTATCATCTATTTCAGTCCCTTTGAATAATTCTGATAAAAGAGCACCATGATAAATTATTCTTCAGGTATTTACTCGTAACTCGGATATTTTCGGGTCAAGTGCCTTCTCAGATTTTATCAACGGAATATCAAGAATTTTCTGCACTAAGTCAAGATCTTAACAATCAAATTCGTACTTAATCAAGTTAAGTACAAATCCTCAAAGTACTTTCTCATTCAGGGTTAACTTGGATTATTTTACCTCTCAAGGGCATTTTCGTAAATTTTTAATCAGATACTTTCGATATTAGCTCTTAATTAAAATAATTATAATTTAAAGATTCTATGGTTAATTATTTTCCCGAACATTCTCTGATCTTGCAATGATTCCTTAACAGACTTCTAGCATCTTGCTCAAACCGTTTTGGGGTTAAAAACTGGTTATTCGCATTTCCTAAGCAAAACTAACATTTCTTATGCACATCAGTATTTTTTACCGGATCAATATGTCTTTCCAGAGTTATTAACCAACTTCTAGGGATAATTTTTGTCATCTTACAATATAAGGGTATTTTCAGAATTTTACCCAACCAGAGTATTCTCATAATTTCTCATCCGAGTACCTTTAATATTTAACCTTTGTTGATATAACATATAAGTTACAGATCCAGGGTTAATTTCTTTATCACTAATCACAAACTTATAATTTAATTCTAACAATTCCTCAATCTCTTATATTAGTCATTCGATCCGTATTCAGTTACAGAATTTCTACCACATCTATATCGAGTGTATAAATTATTCGACTCCACAATAGTGACCAACATTATCTTATTCATGCATTTACCGATATTAACATATTCCATAAAGCATAAAGATGTAGTAAAGTATTACCTCGATTTTCGTGCAATACTGATCGACCATTAAATTCCATTCTAACGCCCTCGATCTTGAAATCATCTTCCAATATTTCTTCGGATCCATATCAACAGAAATTACATCAAAACAGAGCTTAATTATGAAAAACAGATCGAATCGGATGATAAATCAGTGAAAAATAACTTACCAGGTTTGAATTTGGCGAAACGGACTTCGGATTCAAATTCAGGACATCAAAAGCAGAAAATATGTCTTTTCGAAGATTTGAAATTTTCAGTCAAAATCAAAGTTAACGGGTTTGACTGGCAATTTCGAGGCTTTCGGGTTTGAATTTTAAAAAATGGACTGCGGAATCGGATTTGGAACGTCGAAAAATATCAGAAAAGGTATACTCGGTCAAAATCAAAGGTCGTTTAATGCCCGGTCAAAGTCGGTCAAAGTTTTGGTCAACTGTGGTCAACGCCGATCAACGGTCAATAGGTCAACAGTCGATCATTTTACACAAATATCATCCTAACAAAAAATAATTACCAAATTATCCACATTCTATAAATATTTACCAATCTAACACCCGAATTTTACACAAATAGCACCTAAACATAAATTAATTACTAAATTATCACCCAGACGATGCCCACTCTCGGGGGGTGGCGCGTGTGAACAGTGCTACGGTATCGGAAAATTCCCAAAAAAATTCTTGAAAATTATTTTAAGCGATTTCAAGGTACATACAAAGCTCGGTTTACAATTTTGAACAGTAGAGTGCTCGATTTCAACGAATCGAAAACTTTAACCGCTTCACCTCCTCACGCGCCACCGTCGACGGAGACCAAGGATGACACTGGCATAATCGGAATGATGCAAGGAACATGATGGTGCGGGAGGTGTCGTAAACGGATCATCGAATCGTCGTGAATCGATGAAAAACCAACTGAAATCGAGTTATTACTGACGATACTTCCGACTGAAATTAACGACGAACGGCGACGATTCACGACGAAAGGTTTGAGGGATTTTATTCTTCGGTCGACAACGAACACGATGGTGGTTTCGGTTTGTCGATCGGACGTCGGACGGTGAGTAGATCCGAGTTGAAAGTGGGTTGATCGAAGGAGGAAAATGGAGCATTTTCTGTAGAAAACACTAGGGGAAGAAAACTTATAATTCTCCCATAAAGGAAAATGGCTAAATTATGAGTTTAATCACTGAACTTCATGCACTTCTTAAAACGGTCTGCCAACTTTAAAATTTTACAATTTAATCTACCGTTTCTTTCAAAATACCAATTAAATCCAATACTTTATAATTTCTAAAATTTAGCCCCTAAATTGGGGTGTTTCAAGAACGAGCTTTCTTTGTCTTACGATATTTATATGCATTGCTTTCTTTTTTTGTGTATCTCTTTGTTTTGTATCAGTGATTGTTCATTTGGTATCGTCTTGAACAAACAAAAGAGTAATCGACTAGGGAAAAGTTATTTGAAAAGGATAATTTCTTCCAGAAACTTAACAGAATAATGTGCACTGTCCTCATTATTAAAGCATTAATAAAAAAAATGTTTTCACTCAGTTTGGATGTGAAAGAAATGACAGCCTATTTTGTCAATGGCTGAAAATCATTGCAACTAATGGAACCGGTAACGACTCAAGTGATAGTCTCAATATTGAAAGGTTCTTTATAAAAAAAAATGAAGAACTGAGAAAGCATGCCCCCCAGATTACTTATAACTATCTATTTCATTTTGCAAAATTTCCCCTTTGACGGGTTCTTCTATTTTTAACCATTTCTTTTAGCTTCTTCCACATTTTCTTTGATTATGTTATTCTTAAAAGATTTCAATCATATTAGCACTATCTTAAAGCAGATCCGTACCGAAAATTTTAGAAACTTGCTACATGTAAGACTAAGATCTCTATCAGATAGTTTTAATTGAAGGGATAGCTGTAACTGTTATCTTGGTTGCTTTGTTTTTCTTCTTCTTCTTCTTCTTTCATTATTACTTTATATAGTTTATATGCCATTATTCCGTTTTTGGCATATTGCTGTTATTCACTCTTTACCATGGTATCTGAAACTTCCGCTTCAACTTAATATTATATCATATTGTTGATTTTTTCAACTTATCTGTCATTGAGCATTCCCCCGTTAATTTCTAGAGGTGATGATTCAAGGTCTCACTCAAGTACCCTGGGAACGTGTTGATGTAAGCTTTCAAAAAAGTAAACAACGATACGTTGCACATAATACGATTCAGGCAAGTTCAATATCATAATAGATATTTCTATATGCTTCATTTTTCTTTTACGTGAAATTGAGAATTGTTGTATTCTTTATACAAATGCACAAGGTTCCCACATCAAGGGATCCTTGCAAGAATCCATTGTCATAAAGAAAGGGTTCCTAAGAACACCTTAGCAGCCCCTTATTGCCCGGGAGTAGATGGCAATATTCGCATTTATTCCAGTGTATCAAACATTGCTTTGGTTCTGAAAGTGAAGAATCGAGTAACACGGATGCACTGATTAATATTTGACCTTCTTCAGGTAAAGAGCTACTGGTTCAATTCTGATGGAAGAGATGTAGTTTTCCATATGATCGACAATTTCCTAATCTAATCCCGGAAGCGTGCTGCCGGTACTTTATCAACGGGTCAGCTCACTTATTGTTATTGTGCAATATGCTCTGTTGGCCCACATGAGAATGAACGTTGTGGTGTATTTGTTCTATTTATGTGGAAACATTGTCAATATCAAGTCTTGTGACCTGTCCATATAAGTTCCATTTTTCTTTGCTATGATACCTCTAATTTATTCCTTTTATATATGATTGTTCAAACGTTCGACATTTTGTGGCTCCATTATTTACTAATATACTTAACCAAGGATCGAATTATCCGTTGGAACTAGAAGCCTCGTGCGATATTTGAGAGAAATCGTTCGACATGGACATGGACATGGACATGGACATGGTGTCTCACTCTAGTTATGAACAGGTTGGTCATGGACATGGTGTCTTATTGTAGATTTGGTCTTGACGAGTGATTATTTTAGCGTATGTATAATGTCAAAATTTAAATTGACGTTTGTAGTTAATATATTTTAGAGGTGGAGCTGATAGACGAAGCTATAAAAGTAATGTCCGTAATCAAAACCATAGCTAATACACGCCCACCATCCCCATCTACCTCCAGCACAAAAAAGTTTAAACATTTTTTTCTAAAGAGTTTCCACGTGTATAAAGACACGAGGATTAAAAAAAATTTAAGTAAAGAATAACATATTACATGATAAAAGCAGTCTAAATAAGGTACGTAAAGACAAATACTGTGCATGCCTAATAAGAGGAGTGTCATGATCTGTATTTATACTTCTCTCTCATTTTCTTCTAACTATATTTATTCACATGTTGACTACTCCTATTTCGTCTGAATCGAATAGGGACGGATGTATGATTTTATACTAGAGAGATAGACTTATAAAATTTTAAGGGAATATAAATTTATAAAATTTTAGGGGACGAAAAGATATTATCAATAGAAAACATAAAAAAAATCTAATAAATAAAAGAATTTAAAAATTTTAGAGGAACAATCCCTCCAACTTATTCCCTCCATTCATCTCTAGATTCAAATTCTTCTTAAAACCGAACCTCTACCTAATCCATAAACATCGTTGAATTTGGCTTTCTCACATGGGAAGACAATGTCAAATCCTAACCTAAATTTTGCACGTTCTTGTTTATTAGTTTAATTTGAAGGATGATATTTGGTTCCAAATTTTCTTGCCCGTCTTTAGGTCTACAAATCGTGAAGGAGAAGGAGACAATTAATTATTGTGAGTTTTTTTTTTAAATTAATCACTCGTATCCGATCTAGTAATCGACTAATTCAGATTTGATTTTGCAGAAGTTTATCACGGGTGACCCTTTAAACCTAGTTTACTCTATTCACAAATATCAAGATTCGAACTCTTCATCTTATTTAAAAAATCTAATATCTCATCTCACTAGACCAATTGATCGTTGGTAGTTATTGTGGGTCTTTAATTAACTTTGTTTGTGGTTCACAATTAATATATTCTCATTAAATATATTAAACTATGTAATATATTCTCATGAAATTATAGAATTTTAGATATAAAAGTAAAATATCAATATAAAATATATAAAAAATTATTTAAATTATATAAAAATTTGAAATTTTCAGTTTCGTCAACCCTTTATCATCCACGAAAAAGTTAATTAAATACAAGTAGATGGTGGATTGGAATCAAAATCATGTGGTATATAAAATATGTACTTAGGATTAAAGTCACAATGTCCAACTTCCATTCAAAACACGCACAGCTTCACACTCTCACCAACCGGCCACAATAGGAAGCCGTTTCATATCTTCCCTTCCATGCAAACACACTCCGTAATTAATTCTTCCATGACTCCACTTCTTTGATTTAATAACAAATAGTGGATTCAAGAAACATCAGCAACGAGTTTAAGAACAAGTTAATGGGGCCTCCAGCAACAAGTATAGGGAAGTATCAGCTCGGTAGAACGATCGGAGAAGGCACCTTTGCCAAGGTCAAGCTGGCTGTGGACACCGCTACAGATCGTCACGTCGCCATCAAGATTATCGACAAGGCCATGGTTATGGAAAGCAATCTCAAGTATCAGGCGAATTTCCCACACACCCTTGCATGCTTTTGTATCATGTCTTGTTCTTATTCCAAGTCATGACCTCCGACCTGACACAAACATATCGATGCTCGAATTTCAGGTACAACGAGAGATAAGAACAATGAAGCTCCTGCATCACCCCAATACTGTAACAATAGTTGAGGTGTGTTTCTTAACTTCTTATCCATGGTTAATTGGCGTCCATTTTTGCACCCACATTCATTTGTGTTGACGAATTTCGGTGATCCGATCGCAGGTTATCGGCTCGAAGACAAAGATATACATAGTAATGGAATACGTATCAGGAGGACAACTCTCTGACATATTGGTGAGACTTATCTGATAAAAATTTTGGTGCAAATTAAGCCTTTCAATCTACATATCTGATTCTGTCTACCAAATGTCCAGTCTTATGCCAAGAAATTAAGTGAAGCAGAAGCAAGAAAGCTTTTCCAGCAGTTAATAGATGCAGTGGACCATTGTCATAGAAAAGGTGTTTATCACAGAGATCTAAAGGTACTTCAAAAATTTCCAGAATTTCTGTCATTTATATAAAATGAAATTGGTGTCAATATTTGCTTATGCAGCCAGAAAATTTGCTCTTGGATTGTAAGGGAAACCTGAAAGTTACAGATTTTGGACTGAGTGCTTTGAGGAAGGTAGCTATAGACTTTCCATTTTCTTAAATGATTCTTCATATTTTTCTAATTATAATTCGGATATGAATTCGGATAAATTACAGCCCGGAGATATGCTTACGACGGCATGCGGCTCACCATGCTATGTGGCGCCGGAGGTACGAGACATCTCTTCATGTTTCAATTGTTGTACACTGTCCAAATTTATGTTTTGGTGGACAGCTGCTTGCAAATAAGGGCTATGATGGGGCGGCTGCTGATATTTGGTCTTGCGGTGTCATCCTTTTCGAACTACTTGCCGGCTATTTACCGTTCGATGACCGGAATCTTGTGGTTTTATACAAGAAGGTATGTACTATGTATGCATCTTCATATAGGAAAACAACCTGGATCAGGTCCAATAAGTTCCCATGAACTGATGCCTTCCTATTCTGTGTAGATTTCTAGAGCACGATATGCATGTCCAACATGGTTTACGAGATGTCAGAGGAAGCTGATTTCTCGAATACTCGATCCGAATCCGAAAACGGTACAACTTCAATATGGTATATGAGATAGGGATTGCTAAGTTATAAACATAAAGATAATACTGATTTCTCCCTGTTACTGCAGAGGATAACAATTCCAGAAATCATTGAAGATGAATGGTTTCATATAGATTATGTGCCTTCCTGTGGCTTTGATTACGATGAGAAAATAAGCGTCGATGATGTTAACGCCGCCTTCGATACAGTTGAGTAAAATGTTCGATTTAGTATTAAAACATGAATCTCATACCTTCATCTAACAATCTGAAATACCATACAGGAACACAACGAAGATATGAGAACACACGAGGAGAATTTCATAAATGCATTCAAATTGATAGCAATGTCGGATGATCTCGATTTATCGGGCCTCTTTGAAGGACAGGCAAGTCTGCTAAATCGAAACTGGCATTTACATCTGACGAACATCTTCAGTTCATTACTAAAATTAAGTACATCGTTTCTTTTGTTGTATAGGATGACAAAAGACAGAGGACAAAGATTGGTTCCAAGCATACAGTTAATGAAACCATAATGAAAATAAAATCTGCTGCTATGGGTGCTAGTTTGTTGGTTGAAAGAATGAATCATTACAAGGTACAAACATCTCGTGTTCCGAATTCTTTGAGCAGTGATTAAATTCGTGTCTTAAGTTTTCATTTTTACAGATGAAAATTCATGCAAAGCAGAAGACGACTAGATGTTGCAGATCATCTTATGACCTATCAGCCGAGGTAAATAACAGTGAGGTGCTCTTTCTACTAGACAGCATATCGAAAAGTCTCACAACCTAATGCTTCGTTGTCAGGTAATCGTGGTTTCTCCAGCGAATTGTGTTGTCGAAATATCGAAATCTGCAGGGGAACTAACAGTTTACAAAGAGGTATCATAATCAGTTCAGTAAGTTGATTATCCTTGCTGATATCTACTACTCAGATATATGATAATGCACAGTTCTGCAAGAGTCTGTCGAGTTTACTGATGGAGGAATCAAATATTTCGCCACAAATTCAAGAACCCGAAACCGTCGACACTGATGACAGTAGTATTCTAGTGAACGAATGGTAAATTTAACACAGATTGTCAATGTAAGATTGTGTAGATTGAAGCTGCAGTCTCACTGTTATATTCAATCATGCAGCCTCAAAGAAGAAAAAGATGAGGAAAATAAGGCACGAGGCTACTTCTCGTCATGAAGAGCAAGGGCACATAGACACAATGTGCAGCACAAAATTGAGGCTATTGAGCATCATTCTTCACTCAATACAGAGTTCAAACAGCAACACTTGCACACCTATATTCATGTTTCCTGTGAAGTTTATCTTTCTTTTTTTACTTTCTCTCCTCCAAGATGTATATTATCACACTTACGTGACTATTCTTTTGGATAATGGTTTCCAACATGTAATTAGACAATTTCTGGTATTTTTTTTATAATCATCGATTAACAGTGTACTTCATCCAAACAATATGCATTCTAAGGGTGTTTATCGAACGAGTTATTCACGAGTTGAGTAGTGACCGATTCAAATAAAAAACTGTTCGACTCGATACTCAATAAGTTCGATAAACTTTTATTTGATTCGTGCTCGTTGCTTGTTAAATTAAAAAAGTATTATAGCTTAATATAACATAAATGAATAAATTTAACAAAATAACGCGTGAAACAATTACAAACTCTAAACTCCAAAATAACAACCCACAAATACACCAAATAAGTATATTACTACAATTATTTTTTGAAGGAAAAAAAAGATGTTTCCACATAATAAGACAACCAGTTCCCTAAAAAATTATATAAAAAAAATTAATGAGTTGTTCGAAAACTTATTGAATCGAATGAGATTTTTACTCGACTTAAATCGATTCATTAAATTATCAAATCGTATCAACTCGAATAGAATGTTGATCAAATTTTAATTAAATCGAACTCAAACCGACCGCGAACTACTTAACTTGGCACCCAAAATACATTCATAGCTCATATGCTCAATCCAGAGAAACATGATAAACAAAGATGGCAATTGGCAATTTGATCTGACTCGTTACCCATAACCTAATCTAATAACCATACTAATATAATCCTCTTTCTGGGTTAATACAAATTGGGTTAAATGGCCCAATAGTTCCTCCAATGTCTCAATCATATTTGAGAAAATAACCTCAGTGACCAAAAATATCTTATAATATACGATTTTAACCAACTTTTTTTAGATTCGCCAAAATGACCAACTACATCGCAATGCGATCGATAATTCGCAACGCGATCTCCGGTATCGTAAATCAGTTTCCAGATTCGCAACGCGATTCTGACTATCGCATTGCGATTTCCCAAATTCGCGTTGCGATTTTCCTAATTCGCAATGCGAATACGTAAATCGCAATGCGATTACGTAAATCGCAATGCGATTACGTAAATCGCAATGCGAATTAGGAAAATCGCAATGCGATTACGTAAATCGCAATGCGAATACGTAATCGCATTGCGATTTAGTAAATCGCAACGAGATTCTGACTATCGCAATACTGAATTTCAAATTCACAACTCGATTTCTGAATTCGCAACAGGTTTTAATTTCGCAACACAAATGTTTTGGGTATATAACTACGCAGCAGCAACAACTCATAACCTAAATCCCTAAATCGCAACTCATTCCATCTCCATCTATCACTCTCTCCGGCGACATCCGTTCCTATATCCAACGACATCCTTCCCCATCCGGCAACAGGTTTTAGTTTTGCAGCTCGTTTGTTTAGTAAATTAATTTATAATAATGAAATCATCTAATGTTGATCATGTTTGGATAGATTTGTATTTTGGAGGGTCATGGGAGAATGTTCATGGTGTTTTACAATATATGCCTTTACCCATGAATCTTCAGCTAAAACTGTCATTAAAAAAGTTAACTTATGAAACTCTAATGTTACGTGTTACAAATAAATTGAATTTAGAGCCCCTAAGTGGATTTAGGCTATCTTATCAGAGAAATGGTAAAGTTTATTTGTTAACCGACAATGAAGATGTTGAACGATTCATTGCTTACATTATTGTTTCAAGTGATGATGTTACATTGTATGTTGTTGAACCTAGAAGTAGTGAAGTTGGGTCAGTAGCGGGTAGTAATCAACTAAGTTTTTCAACCCCAGTTTATGGTGCTCAAAATTTAATGGTTCCACCACAATTCCATCACCAAGCAAATATTGTTTCACCACATTTCCAATACCAAACACAATCTCAAAACCCACAACATTTCCCTAATTCAAATCCCAATCAACTTTCAGCACCAAATTCCGGTTTTCGTATTGACCAGTTAGACGATGATGAACCAACAGAAAAAATTGTGAGTACTAGTCAGTATTCGAAATTTGATCTTGGTCAATACCCGAACTTTGATCTTGATCAATACTCGGATTTTGATGATTTTTCAGAAGAAGAAACAGACCCTATGTGTAATAATTTTGATATTGGTCAATACCCAAATTTTGATGATGAAACGGCCGTTGCCGAGAAAGATGTTGTTGATGATAATGAGGAGGAAGTTACGACTGTAAATGAACATGTTGAACATCCATTCTGTAATTCATATAACACTGAAGAAGAAAAAGAAGAAGAAGAAATCCCCAAAGAAAAGTCCCCGAAGAAAATGCCATGGGAGTATAACTGGAATATGCCAGAATTACTTCAGATACCGGAAGAAGAGTTGGTAAATATAGCAGTTGATTGTTACACAAAAATTATTCGTATCAAGAAAGATGATTATTTTGATACAAAGGAATACTTGAAGATAGCTTTGTATACGAAATGTGTGGAAGATGGCTATCAACTAAAAGTTAACAAATCAAGCAAAGATTGTTTCGAAACAAGGTGTATGATTGACAAAAACTGTATGTGGCGTATGATTGCAAAGAGGATAAAAGATTGCGAAATGTTTCAAGTTAGGACTTTTATTGATAAAGATACATGTTCAAGAACCCAAGTTTTTCCTCACCATAGATAGGCAAACAAAAAGGTGTTGGGTGGTTTTCTGGCTAAGTTAATGTTTTTGAATGGTAGGGTATATCGGGGACATGAAATTATGACTGACATGAATGCTCGGTTCAAGATTAGTATCTCATATTCTCAAGCTTGGAGAGCCAAATGTTATGCCTTGGAATTGTTGAGGGGGTCGCCAGAAGCATCGTTTGCCCAACTGCCGGCTTATTGTCACAATTTAAAGCTGAAAAATCATGGGTCGGTAACTCATATCAAAACAGATAGAGATGAACGCTTTGAGTTGCTGTTTATCGCCATTGGTGCTGCGGTTAGTAAATCAATATAATTTTGTTGACTCATTTTTGTTAGTTACATGCATTTCACATTTAAATGATTATATTTCTTGTGTATATGATTTTGTAGATTCGTTCGTTTATTAATTGCATGCGCCCATTTATTATAGTTGACAGAGCACATTTAAAAGGTCGATACCTTGGAGTAAACTTATTAGCAGTAGCCATGGATGCTAACAATGGGATACTGCCAATAGCTTACGTGGTTGGAAAATCTGAAATCTCTGATTCATGGACATGGTTTATGGGGCATCTTAGGGATTGCATAGGTCCTATTAGCAATCTGACAATCATATCCGATAGGGCAAACTCAATTGACAACGCTGTTAGAAGGTGTTTCCCAAATGCTTTTCATGGACTTTGTGGTGTTCATTTGTATAGAAATCTAAAATCAAGGTCTGCTGGTATAAAAAATCACAAATGGACATACTGGAAGACTGTAAAAGCTGATCGGGAAGTGGATTTTAATAAGCATATAAACTGTTTAAGACATGTTTTTCCTCAGTGTGCTCAAACACTAGAAGATGTCGGGTTTGAAAGATGGTCAAGAGTACATCAACTTGGAGTAAGATATGGTTTCATGACGTCTAATAGTGCAGAATCAATCAACGCTCTAAGTCGTCATTCCCGGAAATTACCCATTACTATGTTAATGAAGTTTTTTCGAGCCTCTATTCAACAGTGGTACTACAAGAAAAGAAACCATGTAGGTATTATTTCTTTAAATTCGTAACATATCATATATTTTACTAAGTATTAGTTATTTAAATTTACAGGAACATTGGAACATTGTGTTACACCATGGACTGAAAAAAAGATAACGAAACGTGTTGTGAAGTCAACGTCATGGAGAGTTGAACCATGTTCAAACACTTTGTTTGAAGTACTGGATAATAACTTAAATGGGCTTGTCGATCTAAATGCAAAGACGTGTAGTTGTATAAAATGGCAAACATCTGGTTATCCGTGTGGCCATGTTATAAAAGTTTCTCTTCATCTAAACCAAGATGATTCAAGCGCATACGCTATGGATTGCTACACTACAGAAGTATATCGACAGACTTATGGCGAGATTGTCTACCCTATTCCACATCCTTCTGAGTGGGACATACCATATGACTTACAAACAGTTTTGCCACCAGCCATGGACAGAAGGCTACCTGGCCGACCAAAAAGTCACGATCGTATACTGTCTAAGGGTGAAGAGAAGAAGAGATCGACATGTAGTCGGTGCAAGGAAAGTGGTCATACAAGGTTGACATATTGATCACCAGTGCCATCACAATCATCTTTTCCTCTACCAAAATATGGATCCTCATCAAAATCCAAAGCTCATATGATGTCAAGCAAAAGGCAATCAAAATCGCAATCATCTTTAAAATCCCAATCACAACCGGCTTCACCTTTTGGGATTGTTAACTTAGGTGATTTTTAAATGCAAACGTTGTATTATGTGGATTTTATGTGTGAACTTTTAACATTTTCAGTTAGGCATGTATTAGTAACTTGAGTTTGAAAATTGCTATGATCTGTTCAGTTGTTATCACTTATTAGGCATTCATTTGACTATCGCAACACGGAAATGACGTTCGCAATCATCTTAATGTCTATCACAACGCGGAAATGACTATGGCAATGCGGAAATGACTATGGCAACGAGAGAATCGCAATGCGAAATGAAAATCGCAACGAGGGAATCGCAAAGCGAAATGAAAATCGCAACGCGAATTTAGTTTCGCGTTGCGATTCCCTCGTTGCGATTTTCATTTCGTGTTGCGATTTTCATTTCGCATTGCGATAGTCATTTTTGCCTTCAACATAATGCAGATTGAAATCAATAAAATCAACCATTACATTTCAATCAATTAAACAAGCACAAATAAGAATTATGTTCACATCAATTAAACAAATCAACTTTTACAAATCATCTTTTACAAATCAATACAATCAAAAAATAAGCAATAATTCTTATTTCCTCATCTACTATTGAATCAACTTTTGCAGCCATACATCATTTTCACGCAGCTCACTTCTGAGATTAACCTACAGAAACCAAACATTTGCTCAAACAACACTTTCTACACATCTAAAACCTAC